TTGTTGTTTCGTTTTATTAAATTATGCAAATAAGTATATTTAAATAGTTTTTAATATTTACATTGTTTTATTCTTAGTTTTAACTAATTTAGTTTTAAAAAATAAATTTTTGAATTAAATCGCCAGTTTATAATTAAAATTATAATCCATACAAACATTTTAAAAAAATAACCTAATTATTTATTTCAGGATCAGATGATGATGACATTTAGAACTTTTCTATTCATTAAGATTATTTTAAATTTCGTAATAAAGTTTGATTTGGCATAAATTAAATGACAAAGTTAGGTGTTAAATTTATTAAAATTTTATTTAATTCAAGGAAATGTTTCGAATTAGTGTTGCAAATTCTTTCAGTTCATTCGTATTAAAGTGACGTTTCAAGATAACGAGATTAAGTGTTGAAAGAAGTTATGAAACAAGGGACAGTGGAAATAAAATTAACCCGAAGACAAATGTGCTTCTCCGTAATTTTGTTTGGGAAGTTTTGTCGTCCCCGGTGGCTTTGCTTTTGTTTTAAAAATGGAACATCCAAATTAAATATTGAATATTTAAACGTTGCAAACTTTTAACGGGACTTTACTTATTGTTAAAATTGCACAGTATAAAACATCTAATATAATTATGCTTGTCATGCTGCGATTAGTCAACCAAAATGCCTAATATCAGTTAATTAAAATAATAAAAAACCTATTTCTTTTAATTTATCCAGAACAAGTGACGATACAAACAGAAAAATAAGTTTGACATGAAATTGTTTTCGTAACTACAGAATTAAGAAAAAATTGAGGGAACAGCTAATTTAACGTCCTATTAAAGACATTTAGGTTATATCTGGGGCGACGGTGTGATATTAGGGCGTCTTAATTTTGTGTTGATTAAGCTTTAAAACTGCCACGTTTGCGTTCCCGAAACGTAACGCGAATGAAAACGTTAGCGGCATTACGGATGAACGATATCATCTAACCTTACATTAAGTCGGCTTAAAATAATTATTTAACTACATTAATAAGCTCCCAATTACCTCTAAATTACGATTAAATTAATCCTTTACAGTTATAACCTTTTCTATTAGTAGCAATTTACCTTGAACTTAGTCTCAATACAATTAAGCGCGTGTTACAGCTAACTGTTTGTAATGTAAAAATTACCCATCAATAATTGTCTTATAAAAAATGTTTTATGAATTCAATATATTTTTCATTTGAATTTATATTCAGATGCTTATGTGATATTAGCCAATTTACAATTGTTACGTTTTGATGCTAAAATTCCTAATAATTAATCAATTTATAAGAGACTAGCTGTAGATCCCGTCTTCGCCCGCGTGAAATTAAAAATATAGCCTATATTACTCAGTGATAACATAGTTTTTTAATGGTGCAAGAATTTTTGAAATCGGCTGGGTTAAGTTATTTCAATACATACAAAAATTTATAAATCCAAAAATATAAATCCTTTTTCCTCTTTATAATGTTAGTATAGATGTACGTATTAGTTGTGTTGGTTCAAATATTTATAGAAATAATCCGATCAACTCAAGGAACCGGCTTGAATATTTATCTATTGTTATTTATAGTCATCATAAAGAGTGTCATCGATGTAGAAGGTTTTTAAGTGCAGTCTGCATCAGTCTTACGTCTGCGCGTCATAGCAATAATAAAACAAATTTACTACCGTCTCGTGCGACACAAAAACGAATAATTTCACCGAAAAACATCTTTTATTATCGGATACAACTCCTTACTGTTTAGTAAACAGCGGTGCGTTAAAACAATGACTTGTCTAATGGATAACATGCTTTGAGATACGACAATGAATGTCAGTGTGTATCCAAATAAATGTATGAAAAATTGAACATAAGAACCTTGCATGCGTAATAATAAAAATGCTATAATTCTTATAAAAATCAACCTTTATGTTTGTATTAAAAGTTATTTATGGTATTAAGAATATTTCAAATATATTTCTTACTTGTATGTACATGTTTAATATTCATGTGTTTTTTTGTGTTTTAATAAAATCTTTTGATCATGACATTTAATAGTTGAACTAAATAAAGCTCCGTTAAAGGTCATATCACATAAGCTAAAGGCTATATAAAGAAAAACTATGTTATGTGCTATCGACCTACATATTTTGTCGTTTATTTTTCGCATTATTAATATTTTGTGTATCGTAAAATATTAAAGTCAGTATACGTATCAAAGTTTATAAGAAAATAATTTTCTTTTCTTTTATGTTACATTCTTGTTGCTGCATTGCTTGCTTGCTACATTTCATAAAAGGTTTTATGCTACGTCGTAGTCTCGTAGACAGCGTAGCATGCTCTTGTCCGTAGCACATGTTAACTGATGCACGAATATAAATTTCGTCATTTTATACGCGTATTGTACGTTGTGATGCAATATTACACATATTGTTAATATTAAATTTGATAAAAATAAAACGTAATTAAAACATGAAGTTGAAAACTGTGACAATTAATAAGAATCAACAATATTTCACGTTAATATTGACATATGTAAATTATACCATTTCACGTTCTACGTTATTACCAATTGAAATAAATACGTGATGAGAATACAGAATGTATTGTTTACTTTAATTTTACAATTTACATACAGACGTTGCAATGATAGCCGAATTAATAAAAGAATACTTTTGGTATATCAAACTTAAACGTAGAGTATAGAGAAAATATAAATGTGTGTGTAGTGTGAACCGTGGCCTGTCTGTCTGTCTGACCACAAACCCGCAGACTCTCTACAATCGAATCCCGGCCTTTATATCTACGCTTATTACAAGCCGAAATTGCGTTTCAATTAGATTTAGAACAAGTCCTATATTGTAAATTATTTCCTAGTTGTTCTCACTATATTTATATCAATATCCTGACTGAATAATACATTCTATTATATCTAATGTAACGAAGAGGTTAATAAATATTGGTTAGTACAGAATTCGAAATCTGAAATCGTTTTTCATACTTTCCTCCGTATTTTAGCCGCTTTATTAATAATATTCTATTTCGGTAACTTACATCTATTATTATAAACAAGTATTTAATTGTGTATAATCTCAAATATTCATATTTATTGTATAGATGATATTAAAAATGTTAAAAAATGTGATTTGTTTGCGATACTGAATGTTACGAGGGCAAAGACGTGGTACTGACAGCAAACTAAACGGAAATAAGAAACCGTAACAAGAATTGCTTGTCCAATTTATATTATTAAACTATCACTCAGAAAATAGAGAGTATATTGTAAACGCCCATCATTTTTTAATTCACTTATTTAAACTATTTTTTTTTAGTAAATCTTAAGTTAGTAATATAAAGACTTTAATTTCATTTGTCATTATTTCATATGTCCTTTATCTATTTACGATGACGAATCTAAACTCTCCATTAACAAGTTTTCAAGAGTCTACCCTGAGTCTACCCTTACCCTTTTGTTCGTGTTTTAATCCATGCCGATTCCAACTTGACTCCAAAACTTACTTAAGATAATCTATGGACTTAGTCACAAAGACATTCATGAAACAATATTCAAGTTACCAAATCAAGAATCCATTAGAAATCTTTCGTCGATTTGAAATATTGAATTAAACTTGCCTTAACTGTAATAAAGACAGTGAGATATTTTACCCATTTATGTATACCACATTTTGTATATTTAATATTTTAAATATATGTTTCTTCATACATTAATAAGGAATTATTTAAATAAATTGATTCCTTTTTCAATTCAAAGTTTGTTCCGCTCTTATTGTTTAACTATTGCATTGCAATCTACGACCAAATGTTATTGCTGTCGTTCTGATTTACGAAAAACAACAGAAATGGTGGTATAAGATAGGTGTTAATAACATGTCAGTAAAAATCAACTCTTACGTCTGTTCGTAGACGCATCAACGACGTATCAATTACTTATTACATCAAACGTCTGTAGATTGTTATATGAGATTAACGTAGATTATTTTCACCTTTATTATCGGAGATATTTATTGAAATAAAATACATTTTACTTTTTTTTTAAATTAAATGTTTGTGTTAACTATGAAAACACTTTCAATACAATTACAATTTTTAAATTAGTAAGGTTAGAACTGTTTTTGTTATCGATATTTCTGCAAAGAACAATCTGTTATTGGTATAAGTGGATACTAGGAGTAGGTTTTTTTTTTAATTTAAAATTGTATTATTACATTGTAGTACAAATTCAATTATAGCTTATACGTCTAACTTTCACTACCATGCAGGTTAAAAACTGCAAAAGTTACTACAAAGTAATCTTAGTGTCGTGAAAATAAACTTTGCTAACAATTGTGTTTTATTGGTTTTTTATTTAATTTGTCATAGAAATTGCATCTAAATTATAATTCTTTAGCACACATGTTTTGTTTACGGACGAAGTAGCTCGAGGTATTTAAATTATTATCACGCTTCTGGACTTTAAAAAAGCTCTTCCCGCGACTGAAATGAGTTTTTTAATGGGAATGAATTTTGCTTGACCCTTTTCAGTAATATTACTTGGCGACAAGCACGTAAAAATATGTTTTATTTAAACAAGACTCGTGATTAATTTTACGGACTAGTGAATATTATTTTAATAAATCATAAAATGTAATGGAAACTGGCAGAGAAAAATTAAACTGCTGTAACATTTTTGTTTCTTAGTAAAGTAAACTACAAATCGTTTGACAGTGTTATTTTTAAATTAACAACATTGAATTTAATTTATTATTATGATGCAGATCAAATATGCGATTTAAGGAATCTTTATAATACACAGTAATTATTTTTAATTTCCACATTATCTTTTTACAGGGGTTTTCTTTCTATCGTGTTAGCTAACTTTTTTGATTATCATAAAAATTCTTATCCAATTATTTTTATTATTACACTAGGCACGAATTATTTTCGCGACAACAATTCATGAATAATTTTTCCGCGGTACCGGTCACAAGTTTTATCAGTGAAGGGAACTTACCTGACGCGTGTTGTGTCGACTGGAACTGTCGCTGCTGGTTGTAGTGTTCACGATAGGATCGCGGCCTTTCAATAGCAAAGTTTGTGGCATGCAAGCCTTATATAGGTGAGGGAACCGCCCACACCCCGCCCCGGGGCGGGCCGGCCACTTAACTTGACACCGCAACAAGTTTTTTCTTAAACTTAAAGTAAGTTTACTTTATACGGTTTTCGTCAAAACTTTAACCCAGATTGTGTATGCCTTATTTTCTTTCGATCTACGTGAGAACATAAGATGTGAACTCCTAGTGTAAAAGGATTTTAAAAAAAATAGAACTCATGTTTATATTTGAAAAGGAATAGTTTTTTTCTGTATTTTGATTAAATTGAAATTAAATATTTGTGCTATTATTGCCTCGTTATACACGTAAATTTACATAACAAAAAAACCATACTTTAAATAGTATATTATTTTGTATTTATTAATTAATGATTTATCGAGTTTTTTATAATTATGGAAAAATCTTATTCCTGTAGAATAAATACTTCTACAGTTTTTATTCAAATGAAATAATAATTTCTTATCCCTGACACAGAATTAGTATCAACGTATCGTCATAAAAAGTTTTATGTAGAACATTTCGTTGACAAAATTAAACTAACAAAAGAGAAGGTCGCAGTTTTCCTAGTACAGACTTTAATTAGACATAACTTAAAGTTTTTATAAAGGCAATATTATCTTTATGCCTCGAAAAAATTGTCCGTTAGCGACGTGGTTCTTTAAATGAGTAGAAAGTTTTCTCTCTAGAGCATTATTATTGAGAACTTTATGTGAAAAGTTATCTGATTTAATTAATTTTTCTTAGTAACAACTATTACTTAATATTGAACTTATTTCTAGTAAGACCTAAATAGTAAAGTAAACAGTAATATTATAAATGCGAAAGCTTAGTTGGATGGATGTTTGTTAGAGTTTGTAGCCTAAACAGCTTAACAGATTTCGATGAAATTTGATCCAGATGTAGAGAATAGTCTGTAAGAACACACACACTACCCACTTTTGTTATTTTTTGTTCCACGCGAATGGAGTCGCGGGCGAAAACAGATTATTCATATTTGGACGAACATTTACAATACCTGGATAGTTGTACTTTAGAATTTATTATGGTTCAAATAAGTTAATGAATAACTACAAAGCTTGTACAAATGTATGCTATATCTAATGAAAAAATACTCTATGTATAGTAAACTAAGTGATATATTACAGTCACGAGGATTCTAATGCTAATTAATAAGATATGTAAAGTTAAATACTTAGATATTGTAGAGACTACTTAATTGCTATAACCGAATCTAATCTAAGGGATTTCTATAAAAATTCTTTAAAATAAATTTCCTCTAATTAAAGTATTTAAAAAATATAATTTATGATTTCTGTCGTTCAATATCAGACTTAAGCGACATAAGAATATATTTTGATAAAACAAAGAAAATGTATTCTCGAACTTACTGGCACAAATTGAAAGAACAAGTGAAATAACGATACAGTATAAGGCTGTAGGGGGCGGCTGAAAGATTTCTTTTCAATAAAAGTCTTCATTTCCCAGCGGAGGTGTCACATTACCTAATTGTAATCGTAATAGATACATTTGGGGGAATAAAATAGCTTTTCCACGAAATTCCAAGGAAAACTACCAACGTTATACAATCAGATATGGTATTTTTATTGTTCTTTTCCTTAAGTTACTTTGAATATATTTTTATTCATTTCAACTTAACGGATTTATATAGAATTTGTAGTTATATCATATTCCTAGTCCTTGATCAATTCTACGTGGAATCTCATTCTCCAAATTTATCTATCACTGCTCCTTTCGCGACGAAATTCAAAGACATGTGTAAAGTCAAACAACCCGCAGTGGGCTAGCGTGATTGTCTACGGCCTAATCACCTTAACTAAGAGTAGGCTCCGAGCCCCTCAGTAGGGAGGTTTAGTGATTTGGTGATGATGATGATGATGGTCCTTTCAGTCACTAGTACTTTTCATTTGTGTATGTTCTTTCCAAAATATGTAACATCAAATAAGCAAATAATTCTAATTATTTTTATCCCGTCATTAATCACTGTACAGATCCACTTGATCCCACAAATGTTTGCTCATGCTCATTAGAATCGCATTTCATTGTGTTTTCTCTATTTATCGAGTGACATACTCTATTACTGATGACATTAACTAAATTACTATATTGCCCTATCTTTATACGAAAGATTTTTATTTATGGATTTTTGTATGTATTTGATTCAAGCAAAAACTACTTTGCCGATTTTCAAAATTTTTTCACCATTAGAAAGGAAATTTATCTGTGAGTAACATAGGCACAATGTTTATGTTTTTATTTTTTTTTAATTACACCCGGGCGAAGTCGCGAGCAACACCTATTTTCTATATTTTTCCGAAAAGTCCGATGGGATTTTCAAGATTCGATTAGTCTTAAAAAATGGTAACATTCGATTTGATTTGATTGATATTTACTTCTACTAAAGCGTAATTCTATCTGTTTCAATATGAAATAAACTAACACTATTAGTACTTGTAACCAATTTAGCGTGCATCAAGTACCGATGGAAAACTGTTTTGAATTCACATGTTCTTCTACTGCGTGGATACGCGTTCATCTGTTAACAAAGATAAAAGAAAAATTCACTTCGATGACTGACAAAATAAACTTTAAATTCATCTTAATAAGGTGTAAAATAGAATGTTAGGATATGTAGAAAGATATTTTTAAACAGAATGTACTATAGAAAAGTTAACATTCGTAAAACATGTAGTCACGAGTTCAAGCATTCACTAACCACAGATGCTAAAATGAAAAGGATTATGGTTCAGAAAATTATTACTATGAAGTAACTATTATACACACAATTTAAGAGCCTATTATCCTAGACCGTTTTTGATATAACGTTTTACGATCTTAATGCAATTTTTGTATTATAATTAAAGACTGAATACACCATTGTTATGATAGGATATAATTCAAATAAATATCAGTAAGATTAATGAGGTTTCAGATGTGCAGGGTATGGGACACGCAGTGAGTTATTCTTTTTAGATAATAGCATCCTTGCTTATCTTAATTAATACATTTAAAGGAATTTTGAATCATAGACTATTTTAATGGACCAATTTTTAACATTACTTGTTTTAAAAGTATGCATTTCATAATATGACGAGTACAACTTTCCTTTTACATTCTTTTGGCTTTAAAGATATTAGTAGATTTTTGTTGATATACTGATATTTCCTTTAACCATCCTAACTAAGCTCTAGACTTGCGTTAGGATATTTACGACAATGGTCGAATAGCGGGATTCGAACCTTCAACCGCAAGATTGGTAGGCCGTACCCCATACCACTAGGCTATTGGCGCTTAACTTTATATTCCCCATACTTAAAAGATTTAAGCTACCAAGTCTATCTGAATCTTAAGGAAAAAGCCTAATCTATTTTAAAAGCCCTACTTAATTTACATTCTAGAGTAAATCAATTATAGTTATAAAAACAGTAAAATAATAATCACGAGTCAATAAAAAAATATTGTTTATCTTTGGTAAGCGATGAAATTGGACAAAATCGATTTGTATCGTATTTCTATTAGCAGAGCCTGCTTTGTTATTCATGAAAGTGGGCTTAACGATTTGTCATCGGTTCGGACGTTATAAAGAGGATCAGGACAGACGTAATAGTTTTATCATTTTATCCTAATCATGTAGTAATCACCACAGTCTGTGAATATTATATTACCCTAAAATATTACTATAGAAAAGTAAAAATTATTATGATTTTTTATTACGAAAAAGTAATGTTCGGGACCAATATATTAGTTCTTGACCCTTGTACCTCTTTTCTGGTCTATCTCATAGTGTACTCAGTTAATAAAGTGAATATAAAATAGTGGCTTTTAATGGACTCTTCCGCGTGACCCATAAAATTATGAGACACTCACGTCTAACACATTTTGTGATTTTCATATTCTCTTCAAAAGTTTATAGTACATTGCTGCACCCACATATCTATGAAGACTATATATACTTCTCTATTAAATGTAAATCTAATATAAATACTAATTAATACTCTAATTTTACACTATAATAAAAAAAATAGTTATTCTTTTGTCTATTGTACATTATTAAGTAAACAAAGTAATAATCTGATTGCAATGTAAAAATATTTATTAAAAGCTATTTTTTTAGGAGTCAACCTAAGCAATGTATAGAAAATTATCGTCTTCCATACTTAAAGTGGATAAGATATCACGGTAGATGGCGTGCTCTCAGAGAATTCCCTTTTCGATATCAAATCATAACGTATGTCGTCATCAATGTCTCAGCATGGGACACTAATGTATCCTAATAATGGTCCAGGTAATAAAACACCTATGTTCTGATGGCATTAGGAGCAAAAATAGCAAATACGTTCAGTAATATATGCATAAACATAAAAGCTTTTAGCTGGATCATAAATTACTAATTATCATTAACCAATGATTTTAGGACCGTCATTTTATTAGTAAACGAGTAATAAACAAGGTAACGTTAGGTTTTTTATTGAATTCTATATTTATCAGTTATATGATTTTACTACTTTACTATACACTAGCTGTAGCTCACGACTTCGCCCGCATGATTTTAAAAAATAACAAAAAATGTTACCTTTCTAACGGTGAAAGATTTTAAAATTGGCCCAGTAGTTTTTGAGTTATTTCAATACATACAAAAATACAAATCTTTTCTCTTTATAATATTAGTATAGATTATAAAGCTCAATATCGACAAGCATAAACCTAGATAAATACAAAATCTAGGGCTTCTTGATATTAATAAGGTGAGTGCAGTCGAGCGTGTACTATGTCTAGAGGGCATGACCCTCCGATATCTCTCGCGATTAAATTATATCACAAAATTAAGGTTAGGATAGGTACCGTTTAAAAGGAAGTATTTCCTACCTTCGTTATTTCTTTGAACGTATATGTAACTTAATAATGGAAAGTTTGAATTTTGTAAGGTTAATTAAATGTGACGCTTTCAAGGCTTCATACTCCTAACTCAATTAAAGTTCGCTTAATTGATTCTTTGCGTACATCAGGCGATGCAACAGTTTGTGTGTTTCTTCAATAAAATTAAAAGTTGTACGTTTCATATAATAGAGTTTTTGCTTTGTTAATTTAAATTTTAAAATAACATTTTTTAAAAGACGAAAAATGTAGATAAACGAGACGTGAAAAACAAAAGTAACTACAAAGTTATTTTAATAATTGAACAAAAATATCAATTATCATATGAAAAGTTAAAATAAACGTTAATTTTTACAGTACCGAAGAATACTGTTCGACCATCTGTTACATCTCTACTGTATTTCTCGCTGCTATTTTATTCTCTTAATTTTAATATGATTCAGTTTTTCAGATAAATAAATGGATCTAATTGTACAAAAACAGAATTAAAAAACTATTAGAAATATAATATATAATTGCATCGTTAAATTAAAAAAAGAACACTACATATTATTAATATTCAAAAGATAATTATAATAGATACATTTTCTCGTTTTAAAAGATACGACGCATTTTAAATTCAAGATAAAGAAGCCCCAGGTAACAGCTTCTAAAAAAGTTTAAAGATTTTTATGCTCTAAAAGTAAGAACGTAAGAACTGAGGTTTACGGCAATGCATTCATAAACGAAAAATGAGAACTAAATTCTTTTTATAAACTTTTTAACTTAGAAATTGTAAAAGGTTACTACTTTTTTATATTTATAACTGTACTAGACTACAAAGGGACTACGGATGTGCTTGGACAAGCGGAATTAAAAAAAAATTTAGTAAGTCGGCTGTGTTCTTTCAGACTATGTTCTACATCTGTGCCAAATTCTTTGAAATCCATTCAGCAGTCTAGCTATAAACTCTAAGACATACATAGGTCCAAACGTATTTATAATATTAGTATGATAGTTTTTAGACCTATTCGTATTACAATTACTATGAATATTCTATAAGAAAATTAATAGACAGTAATACCGAAGCTGTTTCCGATACAATGCTTGTTTGTACGTTAACTGTAAGTTTTGCCACAACTTGTAATGAGATTATCGGTTCCCGTATTTTCTAATCGTCCTAGTTATACAATTGTGCGGTAATGTCCGCACTTTATGCAAATGAAAACAGGACTTTGTGCTTTTACTGGCCGATAAACTTTTACTAAAGAAATGCAAAACTCTCTTTTATTGGACAATAGTTAATGGAATTGTCTCTTCTATTTCTATAATATAATTTTAAAACAAATGAATGTTTTTTTAATAAACAGTTTACTTATCTGTACGTGGTTTTATTTCATGCAATTTGGATGTCAAGTATAGTTTGTTAAGAATCAAGTAGCAATAATATTCGCCCACGCGCAATACTGATTTCAGGATTAAACTGTTCTAATTTGTAATTAATTTACTTTCAGTTCCTATTTAAAAATCTTCATTTTACCTTTTTAAGAAATCTTCATATTAGATTGAGTAATAAAAATTGTAACACAAGTCCATCATCTAAAAAGTTGCTAGCTTACTTGGTGACTTTTAAGATTTAAAAAAAAACTGTGACATTAAATTAAAATCGTTATCATTCATTTGATCTATTCAAGACATTTGAAACAAAGCGATGATTAATATTTGAGATTTCGACATTAACCAGATTCGTACGAGCGTGTTACAATCAAAACGAGATATAAAAGATTTATATTCCAACAATAAAAGGGATACTTCAGTCGACGGCTTACGTCTACAACATAATGACTACTTTACGAACGTTAAAATTTAGTAGACTCGTTTGAGTTAATATTCGCTTTGGAATCGATTCTGTATCCGAGTGAAGGGCATCGTTTGCATGTCGACGCTTAAAGGATTTAAACAACGTGATTATCCACGAAGAGAGTGTAATTAAATGCACAAGCAGTTATTTGAAGTTTTATATCCAATTTTAATATGTAGTACAAAAGTTTTATACTACTATGAAATTATGTTGATTTGCTAATTAGTAGTAAATAGCTAGAGACCTATGTAGATATATTTCTTAGGACTCAATGGAACTTCTTATTTTATTGTCTCTTATAATAAATTGGGAGTATGGAATAAAAACGCAGTAGTTTTTTTATAAACTTTATATATATAAAACAAAAGCTGGACAAATAAAGATTAAGTCCAAAAGTAAATCGTGCAAAAAGCAAAGTACAAAGGTAACACTGGCACATTGTTAATCGTTTTCATATAAACATTTAACTTTCAAACAAATTTAACAATTTATTAAACTTTATGGAAAAAATATGGCGACACAAACACTTACGAAACACACAAGCACGTTTAAAGCATTACTTATGTAAGGCACTGGTTTTTCCAAAACGAACAAAACTTCATTCGACTCTTTTAAGAAAATAATTTAACTTTATCAAATGTTTGTACTCTTAGGTTCAAAAAATTAAATTATACAAAGTAATAAAAATTAAAAACACACTTTTTTCAGTTTTTGTATGTGAGTCGTCGCTTTAGAAATATTTGTGCATAGTTTAAAAGAGACAAAATGTAACAAATATTCAATATTTTCCTAATATACAAAAAGTGTTGTTAGTTTTTAAATAAATTGTATCATAGCGAAAATAATAATAAATTTAACGGATTTTAACAAAGAGCAAACATGAAACAGAACTATAATATTACTTACTTAACTTAACACATGGTTTTAACATTTTTAAATATCTTAATTTCAAACAATAGAATCAAAATTTTGATTTCTAATAAGTTTTTAATTTCCTACGATACAGAAAACATTAAAAACAACGGAAGACAAAATCGTTATAAGAAAAAAGTTACAAAAATCTTGTAAACATTACAAACGTATGTATAAATGCATTATGGTTATAATCACATTTGATAAATTGTCACGTGGTATCCTACATACCTACTGTTACACATTACACATACCGTTAATAACTATAGAAAATATAGAATATAACATTAAAGTAAGAGGTATTAAATTGGTTGAAAAAAGTCCGTACGCAACTACAATCCACAGATAATGAACACACTTTATATATTACACCAGTATATAGCACTTGCATTTGTACGTTGCTGTAAATAACACAAATAGCACGGTTATATAGCCCGTTACATAAGGTACAGTCAGCAAGACAATAAAAGTACACGGTAACCAAAATAAAAGACGAAATCGAATCTCATTGCTACGTAAAATAAAAATTATCAAATGTTACATTTCTTGACCATATAAATTATAGCCAGATTAAGAACTAATCTCATCAAGAATGTAACAAATAAATTTAGATGATATTTTTTTAACAAATTTTGGTTACCTTGTACGTTAATATGTAGTTCAGCGGAAGCCTGTCAGGTGTAGATGGTGCAGATTGAAGTGGTAGGCGAGCGCGTGCAGCGTCAGCAGCAGCGTGGTGCGGTCCAGAAGTAGAAAGAAGTCGGCCGGCGCGCGGCGCGACGTTCCTTCTACGAGCTCATGTCAACGCGGCGCTCGCATCAAGCGCTCGCACTGCGCTAGGAGATAGCGCTTCTGTTGCTCGTCGTACAGGAATATCACTTTGCCGGAACCAGAGCTCGAGAACATTCCCAACACTTTCTTTTTTGCAGTCGGTATGTAGACTCCCTTGCTAACCGCTGTTGGGATTTCAGGAATCTCCGACCACAGGTAAGTCCACACGATCTGTTGGAAAAGTTGTTTTGTTAATATCGAAACAAAACGCAATAGCGTAAAGACTCTACATTCACAAGTACTGTTATAAATTTAAAAGTAAGTAGATAATTTAGAATCGAATTTGAAGCTTACTATAAATTATGTCATTAACTAAATAAGTCTAAGGGCTTGTCGCACCAAAATATAAATTGTCTGATAACAATCCAACGTGTAAAAATGTGATATATCGGATTTTGTTCCCTTATCTGACAGTGACGTCATGTTTAAGCTATCCGAGCCTGTATCAGCCAGTGGTGGGACAGTCCCGCAGTGAGCTAAGTGCGGTGTGGTTACCTGCCAGCCGCCGAAGACGTTGTTCCGCTCGAGGTAGAGCAGGCGCTTGTCGGTGCACATGACGGCCTCCTTGCCCGCGATCACCCACACGTGCGCCTCGTACGTGTCCGTGCTCACGAACTTGCCCTGCTCACACAGTTCACTTATACTTTCATTACACATTTAAGGAATATATAGAGGATATATAAGGAACACATTTCCACCGGTAACTTCTTGTACGGTAATATCTCAATGTCAAATTTGAGACCAGATAACGCCAGTGCAATTATGTGAAAAATGTTTCAAGTGAAATGTCAACTAAGCGCCCTCTATATATTTTTTGAATCTCTTTGACGTTCAAGTTAATTAAAACATTAGGATGGATTATTTAACACTAAATATTTAAACTGACATAAATCGTTTAGTATATATCCCAATATATAGTGTTACCTTTTCCAATTCGGAGAGCATCTTGTAGCCCTCAGCCTGCAGGCGGGAGTAGGGCCGCACGCCGGCGTCGGGCGGCAGGTAGCGCGCCGCGCGCCGCTTGCGCACCTCCTCCGACAGGTCCGCCGCCCTACCGTACCGTGCACTTTGTATTACACAAGCTGAGACTCACTTAAATTATATCTTTTATTTCAAGCTTTCCTGCTACAGAGTGAATTAAATATGTTAATCATATTGATATTAATGTTAAGAATAAAACATTTACAACAAAAATGTGTGTCTTTTATTATACAACAATACGAAAGCAGTGTCTACAGCAATGTTATTTTTACACTAAATTGAAAATAAAGCGAATAAAAAAGTAATAAATAATGATATGAACTACATGATCAATGTGACAATGGCATTCCACATATAATTCTATGAACAAAAATGACATTTTTACTTACTCTTCATTGCATATCTACAAAAGAAACAATTGATATACCAACAAAACTATGATACTTCATTAAATGTACAATTACAACAAAACAACAATGAAATTTGTTTAGATGAACATTCACGACATAATCGAATCCTGTTCTACGAAACGACGCTTAACCTTTATGAATCAACATATAGAAGATGTGTGTGTGAGTGGACCTTTTGACGGAGGTGAGAAGGCTG